AGTGAAATTCAGTTAGGAACTCTTCCACCATAGGTTTTTATATGGAAGATGAGAGAGGAAAGATTAGGAGAGAGGAGAGATAATTTGGGAGTAATTAAGTGCTTACTTTTTGAGGAGGGTGGGAAGAGGCAATTAGATATAAGGCTAAGGTTGCTTGAAGAGAAGGGAATAAGGAGGTGTGTGTTTAGCTGGGGACTGGGTGAGGTGAGCAGAAAATATGGCTCTCTATTCCTAGAATCTATAGCCCAGGTTCCTATAACTATGACTATTATTGATTTTTTAAAATGTTGGTAGGCTAGCCTAGGAACTAAACTATAGGGAAATTGATTCATTCACTCAACAAATATTTATTATCTACCATTCAAGGCATTTTCTATGCACTGGGGATATAGCAGTGATCAAAACAGGCAAAAATCCCTGCCCTCATGAACCTCACTGTATACTAGAACAGAGAGACAAAAAAGCAATATAAAATAAGTAAAATGCATAATGATACACAGTGATAAGTACTAAGAAATAGAGCAGGGAAAGAGGTTAGAAAAGTTCAAGGGAATGGGGTGTCTGCAATTTTATATACAGAGACCAAGAAAGGCTTCACTGAGGTAATCTTTGGGGAAAGACCTACAGGAGATGAAAGAGAGAACTATGCATAATGTGGGAAAAGAGTAGTCCAAGAAGAGGGAACAACTAGTGCAAGGGAGTATACCTGATGTCATTGAAGGAGGTAGCAAATGTGGCTGGACTGAACTAGTGACAGGAGTAAGTAGATGAGGTCTAAGGGCTAACTGCGGTACCAGACCATATAAGGCTTTGTATGTTGTAGTGAGGATTTTGGCTTTTACTCTGAGATAGGAAGCTATGAGAATGTTTTGAGTAGATAAAGCATGGAATCTAATATTTTTATAGGATCACTCTAGCTGCTGTTTTGAGAATAGACTGAAGGGTAAAGAGGGAAAAGGAGGCCGGCCCGTGGCTCACTCGGTAGAGTGCGGTGCTCATAACACCAAGGCCACGGGTTCGGATCCTATATAGGGATGGCCGGTTTGCTCACTAGCTGAGCGTGGTGCTGACAACACCAAGCCAAGGGTTGAGATCCCCTATATAGGAAAAAAAAAAAAAAAGAGGGAAAATGGGGGAAGAAACGAGGTCATTTGGGAAGCTACTGCAATAATCCAGTTGACAGATGATGGTGGTTTGGAAAAGAGTGGCTATAGTGGAGGTGGTGAGAAGGGGTCAGTTTCCTGATGTATTCTGAAGGTAGAGCTAATTTTTAAGTTGCCACCGGGCCGGCCCAAAATAATTTTTTTAAAAAAGGAATAGAATCTATAAACTGTGGCCTGCATATACTTTAACTATAGTCTTATAACCTGACTAGTGATAAAGGGGGGATATACTGACAATATCCTGCTTGCAATTTTTCTGAAGCTAAATATAGAGGGGTTTTTTTGGCCACAAAAGAAATAATCCAGACTCCATCTAACGCAAATGCCTGCAGAGCATATATTTCAACAATTATTTTTGTTGATCACCCTCAGTATGTGATAAAGATTGTGTTTGGTGTCACGTGGTTGTAGCTTTGCTTTACAGAATTTTACGATCAGTTATCCTCTTTGTCCTAGAGAAATTGTTCTCAAAAAACGAAAAGCAGGAAGAAGAGGTCAGAGTTAGAAACATAAATCTTTCGGGGCCGGCCCGGTGGCGCACTCGGTAGAGTGCGGCGTTTGGGAGCGCTGCGGCGCTCCCGCTGAGGGTTCGGATCCCATATAGAGACCAGTCCACTCACTGGTTGAGAGCGGTGTGGGCGCGACACCGAGGGTTGCGATCCCGTTGCCGGTCGCGGTACGGGCGTGACACCGAGGGTTGCGATCCCGTTACTAGTCACAAAAAAAGACAAAAAGGAAAAAAAAAAAGAAACATAAATCTTTCATCTTTGTTTATGATTTTCTGAAACTATAAACTATAGGGAAATTGATTCATTCATTCAACAAATATTTTTGAAGTAAAAGTTTTGCAAACTTTTAAAACAGATATTTTCTTAAAAATAATAGAAATACTAGATCATCAAAAGAAACTGAGCATAGTTTAGATTTCTTTCAAGACAGCTGGATCACTGTACATACATTCCCAGCTGGATCACTGTACATACATTCCCCCCTCCCCCCTTGGCCTCAATGGAACCTTGATGAAGAATTGTTACTATTAGGACACAAAATGTATTGGAAGGGGAAAAAAAACCCCACAAAACTAAAACATCTAGAATAGTATTTTGTATTGACTTTATGTAAAGCCCGGTGATAACACAAAGAAAAAAAACCCACTTTCCTCTGCCAAAGCAAAATTTGTCATTTTACAAGCAGGGTACATGTAGCTTTTTGAGGTTACAGTCCACCTATTTGGCTTTTTCATGGTGCCTGCTGGTTCCAAGTTGCCCTTCTTACACAGCCTATCCAAGCATTGCTTTTACTATTAGTAAACAAAGGGATGATTGCCCAGGTAGGACTTCTGGACCAGTGCCGAAGATATAAAGATAATCCAATAAGATATAAAGTAATCCAGTAAAACTTGGCATTACTTCCTCAGTGTAGAGTACTTCCTAGTTTCCTGGGACACTGGTGTACTATGAAGCAGTAAAAAGGTGAGTGTGTCTGTTACCAGCAAGCCGCAAAAAAAAAAAAAAAAGGAAGAGAAGAAAAGTGAGAGTGTGTATGAGGTATGATGGGGAATAGCCATCCTCTCTCTAGGAGGATGCCACGTGATATATGAAAACACATTTTTAATGACATTCAATTTTATATTTGGAAAGAGGAATCAAGCTTGTTTTATTTATACAAAGTCCAAAAAGCTTACGTTCTTGCTTAGTAAAGATACATACGTATATTTTTCACTCACTTCTTGGTGATTTGCCTGGAGATTATATCAGAATAGGGAAATTTACGTTTATTAAGAGGGAACATGAGTTTTTTAAAAAGCTGAAAAGTAACATTTTTCATAGTTTTTTATATATCACTATGTCAAGTATCAAAGATACAGAGGTAAGGAAGATTTTTAAAAACCTTGTCTTTCTACAGTTCATAATCTAGTAGAAAACAGATGGGCTTAAAATTAAAAGTATGGTTAAAAAGTATATGGAAAGGTGATAGTGGCTGATGTATGTTTAAACATACGAAAAAAACAGAAGATACACAAATGAATTGAATGGGTGCAGTCACTGGCTAAGACTACTGCTAATTATCATAATAAATTCACAGGTGCATTGGAGAGCTGAAGGCAACAGAAAACACCAGCTGAGTAGATACCTGAGAAGGAACACTTAGTTCAGAGTGCTTACATGTTTAGAAATCCAGACTCATACCAAGGTAGATAGTTCTAAAACAATATCATTGAAGGCTGGAGTCCGAGGAAAGCAATATACAGTAGTCTACCCTTACCGGCAGTTTCAGTTACCCACAGTCAACTGCAGTCCGAAAATATTAAATGGAAAATTCCAGAAATAAACAATTCATAAGTTTTCAATTGTATGCCATTCTGAGTAGGCATCCTGCTCTGTCCCGCCCAGGGTTGCAAATCATCCCTTTGTCCAGCTAATCTACATTGTATATGCCACCTGCCTGTTAGTCACCCTTTAGTCACTTAGTAGCTGTCTAGGTTATCAGATGGACTGTCATAGTATCACAGTGCTTGTGTTCAAGTAACCCTTATTTTACTTAATATTGGCCCCAAAGCACAAGAGTAGTGATGTGTCAGATATGTCAAGGATAATGGAAAGTGCTTCTTTAAGTGAAAAGGTGAAAGTTATCTACTTAAAAAGAAAAATGCCAAGGTTGCTAAGATCTACAGTAAGAACAAACCTACCTGTGAAATTGTAAACAAGAAAAAAGAAATTTGTGTGTAGTATGGTATATATGGGGTTAGGTAATAACTGGAGTTTTAAGCATCCAGTGGGGGGTTTTGTAACATATCTCCTGTGAATAAGTGGTGACTACTGTATGAGAAAGCAGAAACAACAAAGTCTCTAGTATCTGGACCTAAACAAAAAATTAATAGTTAACAGTTCTAGGTCAAGGGTCCTTCCTTATTGGTTCAAGGAACATTGCTCCGCTATTTTCTTACATTTTACACTGCTTTCTTCAGCTCAAACCTGCAGCTGTGAAATAACACTGAAAAGGAGAGGTGAAAAAAATGTTTTTTATCTCTCTCAGGCAATAAATCCTAAATCTTTCATGCTCTCAAAAGCCAATGAAGGGCCGGCCCGGTGGCGCACTGCTACAGTGCGCTGCTTGGGAGCGGGGCGGCGCTCCCGCCGAGGGTTCGGATCCCACATACAGACCGGTTCCCGCTCACTGGCTGAGTGAGGTGCGGGTGCGGCACCGAGGGTTGCGATTCCGTTGCCGGTCCCGGTCCGGTATGGGCGTGACACTGAGGGTTGCGATCCGTTGCCGGACACGAAAAAACACAAAAAAAAAAAAAAAAAAAAAAAAAAGCCAATGAAGACTGAAAGTAAAGGATGACATATTTGAAAAGGAAAATCGAAGAACATTTATAGAAACAATAGTGTAATAAAAGAAAGTGGATCCCATCAAGATGTTCTTCATGTTAATCAACTGGCTTACAAATTAAATTCTCTTTTTAGGAAGAATTACTAAAAGAAAAATAGAGGACATTGCATAGCAGGGGAATTTCCTCAACCAAAAGTTGAAGACAGAAAGAAAACTTCAGTTGCAGGGAGGCAAAGCAGTTAGTGATATTCACTACTTTGAACAGTAAACTGATAAGAATATTCCTCACAAAATGAATAGGCACAGTTGTAATGTGCTTAACAAAACAGTTTAAATGGAAAGAAATTTAAAAACTCAATATTTTGCTATATTTTGCTTTTGAATCATAAAGCTGACAATGCTCAGGACTTCAGAAAGTTATCAAATAGCCATAGAATTCAAATTTGACATTTTTAAAGCTCTACAAGACAGTTTACTAGGAACATTTCTCTTCTTATAACTTACCCAATAAGATAAGGCTTCAACCTTCATACACAGAGCCTTCAGGCTCTGACTCTACCATGGCAATTCAGAACAAGTGGTTAGATGTCATCTTCCCAGTTTATGACCTACTGATTTTGTTTCCTTTGTTTCTGGGTGAAATAAAGAACAAGTATAAAGCCACATTTAGCCATAAGTCTAACAAGAGAGTAACAAGACTAAATCACTTTAAGATTTTTTGTATTTAATGTATTTACTAAAATCTGACAAAATTTATGTTCTTAGAGTTGCCTATTGTTGTTCAAAGGTTACTTAGTCTAGTAAAGCAGTTTCCAGGTAATAAGAACTTGCAAAATGATTTGTTTTGCACTTCTTTCTATATTAAATGCACCCACTGGCCTGTCTTAGCAAGTAAGTACTTCTGTTGTGAACAGAAGTCCACTATCGTACCACATAGAGACATTATATGATTATCTGCTTTCAAAACTCTCATATGTAAAATGGGGCTAATAACTACTCTATTTATTATAAAAGGATATTGTGAGGATCAAATAAAATATTTTTACATGTTCTGCAAATAATAAAAGAAAGTGAAAGCTGTTTTTATTAATTACAAAGTTTTCAATGAAATATTTATGAGAAAGTGTATTATGAAGATTATAAGTTTATTAAAAGAACAGACACAGAAAAGATTGGAAGGAAACACACCAAAATGTTCCAAATAGTTATGTTAGGGTGGTAGAATTATGAATAATCACTTTCTAATCTTTGTTTTAACTCCCCAACTTTTAGTAATATGCTTATGCTACTTTAAAGAAAGAGGAAAATACCCTTAAGAATCACAGATGACTCAAAATTAAAATTTAATCTCACAGGCAATTCATGAATACCTTTTCATTTTAAAAAATATGATTATACACAGAGCTAAAATTTCCTTTGAATAGACTAGTCCCACTCCCTTTTCCAGAAAAAACACCTTTAGAGGAGTTTCTAGCCTATTGCCAAAAGAAGTCTTAGAGATAAATTTCTTGCAATTCATATTCATTCATTCTCTCTTTCTCTCATCAGAATTAGCCCTATAAAGCAGAGAAGAGTAAACATGTCTAGAAGGGAGAGTATGAGGGCACAGATTATAAACCTCATGTTTTATATTAAAAATTCACTAAATTCTGCATTCAGTTTTCTAAAGCAGTGTTTATTTTAACATAAAAATTAATGTCTTAAATTATAGGCCAGAAAAACTACCATGTATCCTCAAAATGATAATATACTTTCTCATGAGTGCAATACCACACAGTACAAATTAAGTTCATCTTTCTGTCACACAACTGACAGATTTTGATACTGAGCGGAAAAAAGTTTTGTGACTTCCTTGTTCCTTCTCCACTCTACAGAAATACATCGAGAAATTCCTATTATTGATTAGAAATTCAAGGTTAACTCAATTTATATCCTGTTAACTTTCCAGATAAAATTACATGAAAACACACTGAAATTATCATACAAAAATACCACTTATGGGAAAACAGACCATGATAATAAGCTTGGCATTTCCTTAAAAGGTTTAATTCTGAAAATGGCAATACATCTGAGGTTGATAAATACACATTCTTATGTCACTGGTAGGAAAAGTAACAAGTTTCTGATAAATAAGTTGTCATTTTACTTCTTGCTAATATACCTTAAGATAAACCTCAAATGTAATATATTTGGGCCGGCCCGGTGGCGCACTCGGTTGAGTGCGGCGCTTGGGAGTGCGGCGGCGCTCCCGCCAAGGGTTCGGATCCCATATAGAGACCTGTCCATTCACTGGCTGAGCGCGGTGCGTGCGGCGGCGCTCCCGCCGAGGGTTCGGATCCCATATAGAGACCTGTCCACTCACTGGCTGAGCGCGGTGCAGGAGCGACACCGAGGGTTGCAATCCCGTTGCCGGTCACGGTACGGGCGTGACACCGAGGGTTGCGATCCTGTTACCGGTCACGAAAAAAGACAAAAAGGAAAAAAAAATGTAATATACTTGATTCATCTCTAATTCCACTGTCATCTCTTTGCCTTGAGAAATTTGACTCCAACTTGCCTTACATGAAAAAGAAGTTATCGGTACTTTTAAGCTCATCATTGCAATGTATTTCCACAGAGGCATCTTCTCTAGAGGCATTTATTCTCGCTACAAAGTCTCTCAAAATATCTAATTTGGCCCTCGGTGTTTAGTGACTTTAGAATACTTAAAAAACAAAATTGAGGGCCGGCCCCGTGGCACACTGGGGAGAGTGAGGGGCTGGGAGCGCAGTGACGCTCCTGCCACAGGTTCGGATCCTATATAGGACTGGCCGGGTGCGCTCACTGGCTGAGCGCAGTGCGGGCGACACCACCCCAAGGGTTGTGATCCCCTTACTGGTCACGAAAAAGACAAAAAAAAACAAAAACAAAAAAAACCCCAAAATTGATAAATTACAATCAAGATGTGGCAATGTGAGCTAAGAGGAAAAAAGAATAATTGAAGTTTTCTACAACGAATTCACTCAAAATTTGGGGAGAAAAAACAAAGCACCTCAAGTTTTTGGTAAAGGATTATGTACAACATAAACTATAGATAGGCAAACTGAGGCGGGAGGAAGAGCTCTGAACTGAACTCAGGAAATCTGATTCTGAGTTCAGGCTATGCCATCAGCTAGCTGTGGCTTCTGGGAGTACTAAGCCACTCTGGCTCAAGTTTCTTCATCCTTAAATAAAGGACAAAATCAATTCTAAATTTGTTTAGGAGTCAGACCACATAGAATACCACGAAATAGTACATTTAATGATATGAACAAGAAACATTTTTACCAATGAGCAGAAAATAGGAATATATTAAAAATTCATTATAAAATCACAACCATAAACATGTATGTACATAAACAGAGTCCCCTAAACATGGTATGCTTATCTGAATTCTTCTGTTAATGTTTATTTGCTATTTGGGAGAGAGTCATAGTTAATATTGAAGGCTTTGAAGTCACACTACCTGGATTTGAATCTCATTTATTAATTTATTTACACTTTATTTTTATTTTTTGGCGGCTGGCCAGTACAGGGATTGAACACTGCACTTTGGTGTTATCAGCACCACGCTCTAACTAACTGTGCTAACTGACCAGCCCTCTTCTATTTATTAACTGTGGAACTTGGGCAAGTTAAAATCTCCGAACCAAAGTTTTCTCATCTGTCAATAAGGACAGTAATAGTAAATACTACAGGAGTTTGAAGAATTAATTCATGTAAATAAAACAGGTGGTATGATGTCATTACATAGTAAGAGCTTAATAACGATAGCAGTAATAGCAGTGAACACTTAATGTTTACTAAGTACCAAGGCACTATTCTAAGAGTTTTAGTATATTATGCCACTTACTCCTCACAACCACCATGAGATACATACTATCACAGGCCCCTATTTTATAGTGAACAAACTGATCCACAAAGTAGTTAAGTAACTACTGTGATAGTCATTATGGCTGTTCACAAATATTTTCAGTTCTCCTTTCAGGAACGTAGTAGAATTGCACTTTTCCACTGTCTCTGAAATTAGACAAGGCCCATGTAACTTATGTCAATGAATGTTAAGTGACATATGATTGTGCAGAAAAGTTGAGCCCATAAGCAATTTGCCATGTTTCCCTCCTCCTAATACACTGATTGTGGAAGTACATGTATTACAATAATGTTTAGGTCAGCCTGGTTGCCTAAGTGACCACAAATAGTACAGCCCTCTGTTGACCCACTTTAGACAAGAAGCATAAGTAAGAAAGAAAAGCCATTGAGATTGTGTGTGTGTGTTTCTTTTAAACATAGCAATAACCTCGCCTATCCTAACTGACACCTTCACAGTTAATAAATTTCAAATATGGTATGATCATTATCTACTTATTCATAGCTAACACCCAAAATTTAAGAATAAATGATGGGAGAAAATAGTACAACTTTATCCATTTACTTCTTTTTGTGTATGTGAACCAATGAAAGTTCACCATTATCTCTTTTAGGATCACAATTTAAGAATTATTGGTCTTAATGTCTTCATGATCTTGAGCTAGGCAAAAATTTCTTAAAGAGGACATAAAGTACTAACCACAAAAGAGAAAAATGATAAATTGGAATTTGCTAAAATTAAGAATGTCTGTTCATCAAAAGATTCTGTTAAAAGAGTGAAAAGGCAAGCCACAGACTGGGAAATTGTTTGTAATACATATTTCCACTAAAGACTCACATTTAGAATATAGAAAGAATTCCTACAAATTAGTAAGATAAAGATAAATGATCCAATCTAAAAAAAAAGTCTAAATACAAAACAAGCACTTCATAAAAAAGACTATTCAGGGGATCGACAACTATAGAAAAAGAAATACTACTATATACCCACCTGAATGACTAAAATCAAAAAGAATGATAATACACAGTGTTGACAAGGATGAGGAGGAACTGAAATTCTCTTATGTTGTCATTAGAATTTATTTATTTATTTATTTTAAAGATGACCGGTAAGGGGATCTTAACCCTTGACTTGGTGTTGTCAGCACCACGCTCACCCATTGAGCTAACCGGCCATCCCTATATGGGATCCGAACCCGTGGCCTTGGTGTTATCAGCACCGCACTCTCCCGAGTGAGCCACGGGCCAGCCCGTCATTAGAATTTAAATGGTGACAATCACTTTGGAAAATTGTTTAGCAATACCTGCTATAATACATATTCTATGAAGGAGCAACTCCATTCCTAGTAATATATCTTAGAGAGACGAGTGCATATGCCTAACAAAAAAATGTATGAGAATGTTCATAGCAGCTTTATTAATAACAGCCTCAAAGCGGAACCAACCCCTATGTCTATCAACAGCAGCAAGGATACATTATGATATATTCCTACAATGAAATTGGTGAAACACTATACAGATTGAACTACTGTTAACATGTAACATGGATGAATCTCACAGACACAGTGATGAACAAAAGAAACCAGAGTCACTAGAGTTAATATTCCATGAATATATTTATGAAGTTCAAGGACAAGTAAAACAACTCTATGGTGATAGAAATCAGAATAGTGATTATCTCTGGTGAGGAGAGAGAGGATACTTACTGGAGAGCCTTCTGGAGTGCTGGAAATAACTCGTATTC